CAGGGGCCCTGGCCTTAACGAGCACTCTTGTTACAGCATTAGGTTTGATGTCATTCCAAACCTCTGGACCCAACTACCATAGTAACTGAAAACCTAAGGAAAAGCTACTCTTATGTCTTCCCTTAAATGCACTCCAAAATACGTAACTCTCTGGGAGTTCTCTTACATCCTAGTTGTTTCTTCTTTGAACTACACCTAGAGAGAATGAAAGGCACCAGGCCTCACTCGTCAGTGTTCCTGGGACCTTTAGCACACGTCCAAATACCTTCTAAAGTTTTTCCTATGTAGCAGGAAGATTTTTTCTTGTTTACAGAAATTTGGACTCAATCTAATGCTTTTAAATTAACCCCAATTTCCTATCCTATTTATCCAGAGCTCACTCTTCTTAAAACTTGCTACCTGATCACCTTTACATGCTTTAAAAACACTGCCTACTGGACTAGCCACTAAGACACTCCCATACCAACTCCATACCAACTCCCTCGTCACTCAACTAACTACGCATCTAACTTCCTGGTTTGTTGATCCATTTACCAAAAATGGTTCCTTCCAAGTACTTTTCCCCAACAGCTTTTATACTGTTCTCCCCTCTCCTAGGAGGAGTTAAGGTTCTAACTTCCCTTCTCAGTTCAAATAGGAACAGAAAACTTGATTAGCTTTGTCACAGTGTAGCCAGATGTGAAAGGGCTATATGCCCCATTCAGCAGGCTACTAGAAACAGTGGGGTAAAACTAGAAGACTAAAGATTTCGAAGATGAGGGAGGGAACCCGCTCAGTGCCACATTCAGTTTTTCTGAGACCCAGATGATTAGAAGCTAAATGAAAACTATGTAACATTCCAGGGTTAAAGTTATCTGCCCACAGCCCAACTCCCTGGGCGCTGCCACACCTAGATTCCAACTATACTTACCTATTTTGAGCAGCATAGATACTGGCCAGCTTTAGAGAGATTTCAATAATTGCATTGTCCTCCTGTTGGGAGAAAGGAAATGAAGAAAATTCACAACAAGTCAATTTCCTAACAGATTATTTCTGATCAACATATAGACTGACTTGGCCTAAAGGCAAAAGTCTTTCTCCTTTTGGAGGAATTAGGCAACTGAATCCCTCAACAATCATGTTTTCACATGAAAGATTACTCGTTGTCACACAGTTCTGAGGGGAAAAAATAATCTACTTTTTTTTTTTTTTGCCATAGCACATGTTGGGGGCTGGGTGGAGTTTTTAGGAAGCAAAACTATTTTGAAAACTGCTTCAGCTAGGGCCCAATCCCAGGCAATGTCCTCACCTGTTGCATGCCCCCTCCAAGCAGGTAACTCATTGTTGCTTTAAAAAGTTTTTCCGCCTGAAAGCATAAGGAAAAGATTTTTCTTTTACTTGGGCCCTATCATCTATAGGATCCTGGATTCTAAATACTAGTCTGATGCATTACTCACTTGTAAAAGACAACACACACACACACACACACACACACACACACACTCATATACAGAGAAAAATATCCTTGAGATGGGAAAACAGACAAAATTACCAGGCCCCATCTTCTAGGGACCTTAAAAACTCTTCTGTGATGAGTACAAACCAACTTCAGAAATTAACTTGTCATCTACACCTATTGTGGCAGAGACTGCAAACTATCCCCTAATTATTCACTCTTCTTTTATTTACAAAATCTTCTCAGTTTTTAACAGGTCTGCCTCCTTTACACTTAGGTATAGTCATATGATGTTTTGACCAAGAGATGCAGATAGAAGGAACGTGAACAATCTTTAAATCCTATTTTATAAGGAAGCTGCCTGCCCCTTCCGTCCTCTTCTTCCCTTCCTGGAGACTGGAGGTGAGCCAGCTTACCTATGCAGATGACAATAGATCTTAAAAGGAACTCAGGCATGTGCACCACTTCATGGAGCAAAGGTACCTACCCTTCTTCAGTGCAGAGGTACCTCTGGAATAATGCATTAAGAGAAATATACCCTCTTGTCTGAATCACTCTGTTTTAAGGTCTCTTTATTACAGCATTGCCCATACCCTTTCTAATAGAGTTCCCTTGAAGCCAGTCCTACACAAATTCAAAATACCACAAAGTGATTTACTTACTTACATTTTCAAGCTGACCCCGTATAAATGCTAAGTTGGCCATCTGAAAGCAAATCACAAATTGCTTTTTAGTTGAGAGCACTGCGTTCTACTTATTTCAAAACCTTTAAGTTAATGACTCCCTTTTGCTTTTACCCTCTAAACAAAAAAAATACTTCAAAGAGAAAGGTTTGTCACTAATTTGCGAAAATCAAGGTATAGCAATAGCATGAGCGTCAACAGATGCACAATCTTGCTGATAACAAACCAAATGTAGATCTGTTCATCACTGAAAAAACAAATACTAATATTTATTTTGGGTCTAAGATTTAGACTTCATATAGCACAGGGTAATAAAATTTTAGTACTCAAGGGTAACTGAAAACCAAAAAAAATTGAAACCAAGAGAAAACTTAGTAAAAACAAAAACCAAAGAGCTTTACAACATCCTGAAGGTTAGGAGTGTAAAAGAGCTATCTTGCATCCACCCTTCATCATCAGTGGCTCAGACTGGTTAGAAGAGTTACCAAATCATAAGTGTAAGTGATGGCCTTCCTGTTATCGCTCTGATAGGCAAGACGAAGAGCGTCATGTAAAATTAACTCAGCCTCTTCTGGCTCATCTTTCATGATGCTCAACTGAAAAGAGAAAACAAAGAAAACAATAGAAAATGAAATGTAAAGAAAGCAGATGTATGTGCTACCTGAAGCGGATATGGCCATACATCCCAAAACACAGAAGACAGCTAGCTATTCATTCGTCAAGTATTTACTGAATTCCAACTATGTACCAAGCTTTAAGTCTACAACAGTGATGGGAGGGTCAGCTTCCCTTGCAGCTATGTGTAGCCACACAAAGTTTTTGCCAAAAGATGCAGACACTGGGAACTTGAGCAATTTTTGCATCTTAAGGAAAGCTGCTTGCCCTACATCCTCTTTTTCCCTTCCTACAGGCTGGGAGTAATCCTGGAGAATAAATAAACTTAATGATAAAAACCCTGAAGAAAAGTAATAGGGAGGAATAGTAAAGGAGTCCCCTCTAACTGGGAGTGCAGAAGCCTTTGGAGAAAGTGACAGTTAAACCAAGGAAAGAAGGATGAGAAAGAGTCATCCAGGAATTATGGGGAAAGAATACCCAGAGAGTAGAGGATAAACTGAATCCCTACAGGCTAAAGAGCATGGCCTTCAAAAATCAATCAAGGAAACACAAGTGGAGATGGTGAGCCAGAGGATTATTTCCAAATGGGTGAGCAAGGCACAACAGCATAGGTTATACAGGGTGTTGCAGGCCATGGTAAGGAGTTTGGATTCTATCATAAATACAGTGGGAAGTCACTCAAAATATTTAGGCAAAGAGGTAATATGATCCAATTTGCATTTTTATTTTAACTTAAGTATTTTTTTAAGATTTATTTATTTTTAGAGAGAGAGAGAGTGTGTACCTGTGGTGTGGGTTGGGTAGGTGGCTCTCAAGCAGACTCCCCTGAGAAGACTCAGAGGCTTAGGTGAATAAGCCACCCAGGCACTCCCCCAATTCATTTATTTATTAATTTATTTTTATGCCAGGCAGTGGCTATGTGGCCAGGATGACAGCAGAGGACATAGAAAAGGGTGGATTTCAGAATTATTTTGGATTTGGTGGCAACAGGATTTGTTGTCGGGGTGTTAAATGTACTGAGAAGCAGTGGGTAAGGTACCCACAGGTTTTAAGAATGACTAGGAGGTTTCTAGGCCTTTTGAAAAACTGGGTAGATGGTAGCAAATGGAAGATGGTGAAGGCAATGTGCTGGGGAGGCCTTTGAGATCAAGAGTCAAGTGTGAGAGGTAGGTGAGGTCTCAACGTGGAGAGGGCATGTCAGTAACACACTGCAGTACAGGACTATAAATCTGGGCGTAGTTAGCACCGAGGCGGTATAGTGAGCCCCATGGTAGAGACGAAATAACCTGAGGAGGACAAAATAGAAAAGAACGTGGAGAGTAGGAAGACTTCAGAATGAACAGAACCAAACCATGCACAACCGGCACTGAATTGCATTTTCTGGATGCAACATACGTGCCAAACCCCTTACGCCAGTCCCTTCGTCTTGGCCGGCTCGATGGTAACACACACATTTCTGCTAATGCTGCTCGAATAAAAGAGCGACGCCCGTGGTGCCACCTCCATCTGCACTGGAGACTGCAGCGGTCTGACTGCAGGCTCCGGAGTCTGACGAGCCTGGATGGATGCCAACACCGCCCCCCTCCCCCCCCAACCATGACCCATCGAATTCCAGGCAATTCCACTCCCCCTCCCCCGGACCCTCCATCCAGTCTTCGGGAAACTGTGGCGAGCACTGCGCACCCGCAAGGGCCAACATCAGGCCTCCCTCACAAAGGCCGCCTCACCTTGGCTCGCTTTAGCAGCTGGATGATCTCGGCCTCGGCCTCGTCCGCCGCGCCCTCGGCGGCGGCCCCGCCCGCTCCTTGCCGCTCCTCCTCCTCCTCTGCCGCAGCAGGCCTCGAGAACCAGGCGAGCGCTGCGGGAAGGGGCTCTGAGGTCACCGGGCCCGGCCAGCGCCCCAGCCCCCGCCCCCGCCCGGCCGGCCCCGCCCGGCCCTGCCCGCGCCCCTCACCTGCCAGCAGCGGCAACAGGCCCGGGCCTCCGCCGCGCGGCGCGACTCGGGGTGCCGGCACCCCTACCTCTGGCGCCCGGCCTCCCGCGGGCCCCGGGAGCAGGTGCGCGGAGCAGGCCCGGCACCGCCGCCCCGCGGCCCGCAGGAGGCCTCGGCCCAGGCTCGGGCTCAGGAGCCGGTACATGCTCCCGCGGCGTCCTCAGCGCACTGCAGGCCCAGCCGGATCCCAGGACGTCCCGCCCCCAGCGCCCAGCGCGCGCCGGATTGGTCGGGCCGCGAAGGGGGAGGAGGCGTCGCCGTAGCCGCCCGCATGCGCGTGACGCGCGCCGACGTCACTGCGCCTCGCTCCGCCCTCGGCCGATGGCGGGAATCTTCCTGGGGTCGATCCTAGCGTCGCGCCTCCTGGGCTCTCGAGGAAGCTACCGGCCTGTAACGCCATGGCGGGCGCCCTGACGGGAGTCACGCTGCCCGCTGTCGTCGAGGAACTCCTGACCGAGATGGCAGCGGCGGTGCAGGAGGAGGCGCGAAGTACGAGCCCCGAGGGCGTGCGTAGGCGCTGCGGGCAGCGGACCTGGCCTGCCGCGGCTGGGCGGGGAGGCGAGGGGCGGAGCTCTCTGGGCCGGGGGGGGGGGGGGTTTGCCCCGGGGCTTCGCCGCCTGGTGCCTCCGAGCTCTTAACCAAATCCTGTGGTTCTACTCCTGAACCCCAGTTCGAAAAGAAAAGCAAAGCCAGATTTGTTTAGGGAGCAGCGCCGTGGTTCCCTGCAGGCCAGCGGGGCAGCAGGGACCGGAGTGCTGGGCGCTGCCCTCGAACCTGTGGGCAGGGGCCTCTGGCCAGGAGGGCGGCAGGGATCGGAGCTTGCGGGGAGGTGAAATTCTTAATTAAGTTTGCTTGTGGTCTTTCCTCACACCCACCCCCAGATCTTAACTTTAATATCAATGCTTACACGGTGTGCATCCAGATGAATATTTCGCAACCACAAAAACCAAATGCGTACGCAATGACTGGAGTAAATAGGCATCTTGTGAAAGTACCTGTTATTTCTCTGACCAGCAGAGGATGCTCTGTGACTGTGGTTACCAGAATCACCCATGTGATCTGAAGATGTGTTCACAGCGTGCTAGTGTTAACATGATAATTCTATTTTTTTTTTAAGATTTTATTTATTCATAGAGACACAGCGAGAGAGAGAGACAGAGAGACAGAGACACAGGCAGAGGGAGAAGCAGGCTCCACGCAGGGAGCCCGGGACTCGATCCCAGGACTCCAGGATCACGCCCTGGGCTGAAGGCGGCGCTAAACCGCTGAGCCACCCGGGCTGCCCTAAAATGATCATTCTAATCAAAATTCATTGATCAGTTAGAACTCCTCAGCCAAAAAAAAAAAAAAAAAGAACTGCTCAGCCAGTGTCAAAAGGGCAGGTCAAAGGGCGGTTAATAGCAGGTCAGGCCTCAAAACTGTCACTGCTTTTTCACTTGGATGGCTTTTGTTTTAAAAGGACTACACTTTGAAAGGGTTTTATCATAAGTTAACTTTTTTAAAGGATTGAGAAAAGTATACTGACACAAGCATAGTATTATATACGTTTGAAAGGCTAGGCCAGCCAAGTATTCAAATATGTTTGGATCCCCAGAAGGATGTGGGGGAAAAAAAACAATCTCTTAACTCAAATATTGACGACTGAGTAGCTCAGTCAATTAAGCACCTGCCTCTGGCTGGGATCATGATCCTGGGATGGAGTCCCACATCGGGGTCCCTGCCCCCTGCTTCCAGGGGAAACTGCTTCTCCGTCTTTAAAAAAAAAAAAAAAGTGTTAGCTCAAGCAGTGGTTGCCAAAAGTGGGCTCTGTCTGAATGGGTTAATCCATACACCATGACACTCTTGGAGGAACCCCAATGGGTGCCCCAAATGCTCATGGCTCAGACAGAGGGACCACTGCCATTGATTCATGTTTCTTTCCAGCAGAACCGTTTTGTGCTGTTTTAAAATAGGTGTTCTACATAGTAATACACTCTTCCTTCCTGATCCCTATCCTTTAATGATAATTTTTTATGTCAAGATTCTGAATTAACAGTTGTATGATGATGTGATACCTAATCACAGCTGGCCATGTAGGAAACTATGGTTTCTTTTTCATTCCTGCATAACTTTCTGCTCTCCCTGGAATTACAACTGTTGTCCCTATATTTGGGGGGGGGTGTTTTTTGTTTTTTTAGTTTTCTATGTATTTATCCGTAATTCAACCTCGAAGTCATTACCCACGTTCTAAATCTCTGCTCCATAGGTTCAGATGAGTGAAATGTTGTATCAGTTTTATTCTCCTGTAGAAATCTCTCTTCGAGCCTAGACTTGCTCTAATATGGACTGTCTCCTGGCTATTTCCTGACATCTTCCTTCACCATTATTATCCTAGGAATTCCTTTTGCCCATGTTGAGCAGTATGTTTAGTGTATCTACAGTTTTCTTTTCTGACTTACTGTCTTACAGCACATTCTTTAGTAGCTTCCTGAAGAAGAGCACATGAGGTGTACTTTCTTGAGACTTTACATGTCTAAAAAGTTTTTTCTAACCTCATACTTAAATGATAGCTTGACTAGGTATTGAATTATATGTTGGAAATATTTCTTCAGACATCTGAAAGCATTATTCCACTACTCTCTAGCTTCTTTTTTTTTCCCCCTCTAGCTTCTTAAACTTACTTTAAAAAGAGTATTATTTTAACCTCCCTGCTTCATCCCCACCTCCAAAGCAATCTGGTGCCCCCAATTTCTGAGGGTTTTAGGAGGAAGACGGTAGTGGATTTTGGAGTATAAATCAGGTTATTGCTTGGCCCTCTCCATCGCTAGCTTAGGATTGAGTTTCCTCTGGTTTTGTAAATTATTTTCCAGTGTATCTTAGTTTTTGTTTCTCCCTGTCCTTTCATCCTGGGGAGTTTATGCTTTTTTTAAAAAATCCTTTAACTATTGTTTTGTGGGGTATTCGGAAGGAGTAAAGTTAGATGCATAGATTGAATTCACCATATTAACATAAAAATCTTTTTTGATTATAGTCTTTTAAAGATTTTGTGTCTATGGCCACTGGTTTAATATGATTAACTTTCTTTCCATTCCTGTTTTACAGTTCCTGATGAACTTTTATCATCGTAAGTATATATCATGTTGTAATTGGGTTTTTTTAAACCATTAATGTGTTTTAATTTTTTTTTTAAGATTTTATTTATTTAGAGAGCTGGGCGGGGAGGCTGAGAATCCCAAGCACACTCAACACTGAGCACAGAACCTGACACAGGGCTGGATCCCACCACCCTGAGATCATGACCTGATCCAAAATCAAAAGTCAGATGAGCCACACAGGCACTCCAGGCATTAATGTGTTTTAAAAGTCAGATCTTTTTAACATCAATTCCTGATTTTTTTAAATAACTCTTATTAAACTAAAAACAATGTTTTCTTGACGTGGTTATTAAAAATCTGTCCAAAGCCAGTGCCATATTTGACAGTACAAAGTATTCTTGTGTTGTCCTATTTGCCACTTCTGTTTAACATTGTTCTAGAGGGGTGGCTGGGTGGCTCAGTCAGTTGAGCATCTGAGTGTTGATTTCAGCTTGGGTAATGATTCTGGAGTCCTGGGATTGAGCCCCATATTGGGCTTCTCACTTGATGGGGAGTATCCTTCTCTCCCTCTGCTCCTCCCACTATATACATGCACCCATGAGCAAGCGCTCTCATAAATATTAAAAAAAAAAAAAAAAAAACAAGTTTGGGATGCCTGGGTGGCTTAGTGGGTGAGCATCTGCCTTCAGCTCATCCCGGGATCAAGTCCCACATTAGGTTCCTTGCAGGGAGACTGCTTCTCCCTCTGCCTATTGTCTCTGCCTCTCTGTGTCTCTCATGAATAAATAAATAAATAAATAAAATCTTTAAACAAAAAAGTTTAAAAAATTAAAATAAATTTTTAAAATATTGTTCTAGTAGTTGTAGTTGTTACAGGCACATGAAAAAGAAATTAGAAGCATGCCTGTCTGCAAGGAAAGACAGTTGTTATTTGTAGATACAAATGTTTAAAAACCAAGAGAATAAGATTTTTTTATTACAGAGATAAAAATTGTTTTCCTTCATACACAAAGTTCAAATATAGCTACATTTTCAGTAGCAACAAAAAAGTGAAAGCTACCTAGGAATAAGTGACATTTAATTGTATATGCATATGTACACTTCTATTTAAAAGTCTATAAAGATACACACCAACCTATACCAGTGATTTTAGATACACACCAACCTATACCAGTGATTTTTTTAGGAGAAAGAGAGATGGAAGTTAGGTTTAGAAAAGGTTTTAACTTTTTCTCTGTTAAATTTGTTTGTTTTTATTTTTTAAAGATTTTATTTATTTATTCATGAGAGACACAGAGAGAGAGAGAGAGGCAGAGACATAGGCAGAGGGAGAAGCAGGGTCCATGCAGGAAGCCCGATGTGAGACTCGATCCCAGGACTATGGGATCACGTCCTGAACGAAAGGCAGACGCTCAACCACTGAGCCACCCAGGCATCCCTCTGCTAAATTTTTTATAGAGATTATGTATTATTTAAAAAAATACTACTTTTGGGATCCCTGGGTGGCGCAGCGGTTTGGCGCTTGCCTTTGGCCCAGGGCGCGATCCTGGAGACCCGGGATCGAATCCCACGTCGGGCTCCTGGTGCATGGAGCCTGCTTCTCCCTCTGCCTGTGTCTCTGCCTCTCTCTGTGTGTGTGTGACTATCATAAATAAATAAAAATTTAAAAAAATAAAATAAAAAATACTACTTTTAAAACAAAACGGGCAAATAATGTAAATTAGCAAAAACTGGGGAAAAGGGTAAATCTTACTAGTGATCACAAATATACAAATTAAAATAATGACAACTCTGTAAAACTGGCTACCACAGAAAAGATGTTGGTAAGAATGTCTGAGATGTTGGCAAGAACATGGAGAAAAGGATAATTGATACTCCACTAGTAGAAGTATAAGTTGGAAAGTAATTTAGCATTAGGTAATAGGAGCTTTAAAACATATATATTCTTTTGGTCACAAAGTCCACTTAAAAGAGTGTATCCCAAGGAAATAATCATGCATGTTCATAAAGATTTTACAGTGAGCATATTCATCCAGTGTTGCTTGTAGTAGCAGAAACAAAAACAAAACCATCTGGAAACAATCTCACATTAGATTTAATAAACCTTAAGTATCTAAAAATAGAGATGGGAGAAAAGCAAGGTAATTCATCTTTACAGTAGAATTCTTTTAACCCTTAAGAGTGAATAAAAAAATATTCAGGTGTTCACAATAAGTTATAAAGTTACAAAGGCAGGTTTAAAAATTCTTATTATATTCATTTTTAAAGTAGCCTATGGAAAAAAAATAAAGTAACCTATGATTAATTTTTTTAAAGATTTTATTTATTCATGAGAGACACACAGAGACATAGGCAGAGGGAGAAGCAGGCTCCCTGCGGGGAGCCTGATGCAGGACTTGCTCCCAGGACCCCAGGATCACACCCTGAGCCAAGGCAGATGCTCAACCACTGAGCAACCCAGGTGCCCAACCTGTGATTAATTGACAAAGTTATGACCAAATTTTATTTTTCTTTGTCCAGAGATAATGTTATATTTAATAAAAAAAATTTGGAACTTCCCATTCTAATAGCTTTTTTTTTTAAGATTTATTTATGTATTTATTCATGAGAGACAGAGAGAGAGAGAGAGAGAGAGAGAAGCAGGCTCCACGCAGGAAGCCCAATGCAGGACTCGATCCCGGGTCTCCAGGATCAGGCCATGGGCCGAAGGCGGTGCTAAACCGCTGAGCCACCTGGGCTGCCCTCTAATAGGTTTTTGTATCAAGAGACTAGTTTGTTGGAAAATGAAGAAGTTGAACGTTTTAATTTTGAAGATAGTAGCTCTGTCTTCATGTTTTATGTCAGATCACATGAGTTCTTTAAAACATTTAACTTTTCTGTTTCAGTTCAACTCACCCATTTTATTCTCCAGTTTATAAAAATGACTCTTCCTTGTTAAAAAAAAAAAAAAGTGTTCTTGAAAAATAAAACATGAAAAGCATCAACAATCATACCACCCAGTGCTAATAACTGTTAAGAGTTTGGTTTATTGCCTTCTTTTTTAAATTAAATGTTTTATTTTGAGATCATTGTGGATTTTCCTAAGAAAAAATTTTTAACATGATAGAGTTTCTAAATATCCAATTTTGTGCCCATCCTTTCTCACCTATTGTAAAAATTTTCCCACATACCAGTTTTTTTCTGATCTGTCATTTAAAAGTGGGTAGCCTTTATTACTAATACAAAAAGTACAAATAGTACCCATCAGGTGGTCAACATGAGAAACTGATAATATTGGTAGTGGTTAGCATGTGGGGAAAATAGAGCTCCTATACAGTGCTGGTGGGACTGCTGTTTCCACTGTGGAAAGCTATTGGCAACGCCTGTTAAAGTTGAAAAATGTGTATATCCTAAGGCTCAGCAATTCTACTTCTATAACCAGGAAGAATTCTCATATGTGTGCATTAAAGGACATGTATGAGGATAATTGAGTATTATTTATAATGTAAAATAGAAATAATCAGAATGCCCAGCAGGGTACTTACAAACATACAGTGGAATGTTATTCAAAAATTAAATTAAAAAATATATCAACGTGCATCATTTTCAAAAGCACATTGAACAGAAAAAAACCTAAGTTGACAAAAAAGCCTACAATTTATCTTTTATGTTCTAAAACTCATGAAACAGTACCATGCATGTGTATATACACATAGGTGTGTATGCATGTGTGCTATGTATATGTATTCAGTATGCTTCATATAATAAAATAAAAAAGCATTAATAGGAAGAAAACCAACAAATGCATGTCGTTGCCTTGGGGATGAAAGGAAGTTGGGAAGAACAAGAAGTATTATGAAATGTAAAGATGGCTTTATCTGTAAACATGTTAACATTCTAGGGGATTGATTACGTGGGTTCTTGCTATATTCTTTTTTTTCCAAATTAAAATCAATTTTTTAAAAAATGCCAATGGTGATCCTTTGGGTTAAGTTCCTGAGGTGACCTGTGAGAGTAGATAAGATAGTCTTATCTGAAGCCTTTCTGTTTCCCAGACTGAAGTTCATCTTCGGCCCATCAGCCATCCAGGCCTTGGACCTCGTGGACCGACAGTCCATCACCTTAATCTCATCGCCCAGTGGGAGGCGTGTTTACCAGGTAGAAATCTAAAGGTGGGGATTATCTCAACCAGAAACCCCTTAGCACAAAATGTTTTCATGGATCCCAGTAGTTCCTACTGAAAAGCAATGACCCAACTTAGTAAAATTAGTGTATTAGTAATTAAAATAAGATAAATAAGACTGGGGGCACCTGAATGGCACGGTTGGTTAACTCTTGGTTTTGGGTCAGGTCTTGAGACCTCAGTCTTGAGATCCATCCAGCCCCATGTTACTCTGCACTGAGCACAGAGTCTGCTTGAGATTCTCTCTCCCTCTGCCCCGCCCACTGCTTGTATTCTCTCTCCCCCCCACCCCTTAAATCTTAAAAAAAAAAAAAAAAAAAAAAGATAAATAAGACCTATTAACCCTACCTAGTAGCAATGTATAGAACCAGCAATGATGTGGAGAGGCTGTTTTCTCAAGTCTCATGGAGACAGTTGACTTTTGCTTCCCTGTGTTTGATAAGAGGCATCTTTACCCCCCAAAAAAACTGTATTGACAGTTTTACCTTGTTCATTGTCTTTTGTCTACAAGCAAAAGCCAGAATGCATTTTGAGGTTCTCCTACATGCTCAGATCATCTATCAGTGATCTTTCTAAACTATTGTCAGGAAGTATTTATTAAGGGTCAAACTATGCTGAATGCAGATAGTCCACGTGGACCTCAGTTCTGCCCTCTAGAATTTAAGATACATAGATCTGTAAAGTAATAGTCTCTTATCAGACTCTGAAAGATTTCCATGCATTGTTGCTAATTCCCACAAAAAGCCCAACAAGGTGTTTATCTTGCAGGAAATGGAGATGCAGAAAAGTAAATTAAGGGTCATATCTGGCAGCTGGGATTTGTAACTGCCTCCATTTGTATATAAACACTGGGCCATACTCCCATCTCATTCCCACTCCCCCACCCCCCAATTTACCTATATGAGACAAGGATAAGTGCTGTGGGATTGAGGGAAGGGAATCTTACGTGTTCTCCCAAAATTTTGTGTCTGGGGGCACCTGGCTAGCTCAATTGGTAGAGTGCATGACTCTTCATCTCGGGGTTGTAGGCTTGAGGCCTATGTTGGGTGTAGAGATTACTTAAAAATAGCATCTTAAAAAATAAATTTCCTAAAAAAATTTTGTGTGTGTGTGCATCTGGCTTGGAAGGAATAAAGAAGCCATCAGCTCTAGTATATAATGTAGGTCTTGCTGAAGATCAGGAAGGGGGAAGCTTTTCAGTGTTTGGATTCTGGTTTATTTATGACAAACTCAGAGCTGAGACCATGTCAAAATTTTTAAAAGATTTTATGTATTTATTAGCGTGCAAGTGGGGAGGGGCAGTCTCAAGACCACAACAAGATCAGGACCTGAGCCAAAACCAAGAATCTGATGCCTAACCCACTGAGCCACTTATGTGCCTCTCAAGTCAGTTAATTCTTAGCGAGTGAATGAAGCAGGCAAAGCCAACTTGGGCAAATCGGTCCCTTTGCTTAGTGAATTAACTTGCCATTCCTCAGTGTAGCATGACTTAATCAGTCTGGCAAATCTTCATGCATTTCTTCATTAAAGAAAATGCAGTAATTAATGTTGAGTGCTAGAGTCAAAACTTTTGAATTGTATATTTACTTAAAAAAAGACTACCTAGGGGATCCCTGGGTGGCTTGGCGGTTTAGCACCTGCCTTTGGCCCAGGGCCTGATCCTGGAGTCCCAGGATCGAGTCCCACGTCGGGCTCCCGGCATGGAGCCTGCTTCTCCCTCCTCCTGTGTCTCTGCCTCTCTCTCTCTCTCTCTCTCTCTCTTTACGTCTATCATGAATAAATGAATAAATCTTAAAAAAAAAAAAGACTACCTATTAGAATTTTGTCAGGATGAATTTAGAGCTTAGTAATCAGAGCTATTGGGGTGCCTGGGTGGCTCAGTCAGTTAAGTTGCTGCCTTCGGCTCAGGTCATGATATTGGGAGTCCTTAGATTGAGCCCATTGGGCTCCCTGTTGGGCGTGGATCCTGCTTCTCCCTTCCTGCTTCTCCCTCTCACTCTCCCCCTGCTTGTGCAAGGGTGCATACGCGCATGCATTCTCTCTCTCATGAATATTTTTTTTAAATGTAATAATCAGAGCTATTAAGTGATACTACACCTGATGAGGTGTTTCCATTTTACTTCTCATAGTTTTTATCTTGGTTTTTTTATGTAGTTAAAATACCCAGAACAAGAAGGGCCTTGAGTTTTTCCCACATCTCTTGGTTTCTGATTTTTTTTTGTCTCCATTCCACTATTAGCATAACACTTGACCTGCACAGACTTCTAACTGCTCTCTAGTTCTAAGATCTAGTCATTAGTTAAAATCTTAAAGATTTTGTTTGACATATTTTAATTGTTGACTTTTTGTTTCTCCCAAGATTGCCACGACTTGTTTAACTTTCATCATTCCCATCCTGTATTATATTACATTGCTTTATTTGTCATAAAAGTGCAAACTTCCTAGTACTATAGCTTTCAGTTTGGACTTTGAATTAAATGAGGCTATAGAAATCTTATATACACCCTAATGGTCTCGTTGTATACTAATATAGTCTGAATCTGGCTTAAGTCACAGGTTCTCTGAGATGATAAAAGTTGAGTCAGACACTGTTTTGATACTCCATTAGTCATCTTTCCACAGGTCAGCCTTCTAATCTTACTGCCTTCCAGGCACAATGGTAATTATTCCAAAGTCACCACTATGTTGTTGTCACCTGAGTTGCTTTTCTGTAAACTTTTTTGGTTTACCTAGGAAGAGGGATGCATCAGTCAGGAGGAGGCTAAGTTAGGCTGTGGCAACAGTGACCCCCAAATGCCAAAGGCTTACAGAAACAAAGTTGTATGTCTCATTCATGCTTCATTCATACCCATTCAGAGTGGACTGCTGCTCTACTCCAAAACATCTCCACTTAGGGATCTCAGTTGGTGTAGCAGCCCTTCTCCAGAATATCGTGGATCTCATAGCAGAGAGAAAAGAGGATGTGGTCTGTGCCAATTTGTAATGTTTCTGCTTGGCTACTCACATTTTCCTGGCTAAAGCAGGTCACATAGCCAGCCGGTATTTAATAGAGCAGGAATGTATAATCTTCTTTCAGAGAGAGGCACCAAACACAGGGAACAATAAATAATACAGTTGAGCATTCTAATGGCTCCTACGAGGCTGGCAGCAGCCATAAAATAAAACTGTAGTTGAGAGTGGATGACCATCTAGGTGGGTCATGCTTCTTAGAACCCAACCAGAACTACAGCAGACTTCCTCCAAGTGAGGCTCATGCAAGTCTATATGGGTCTCCATTTCCTATTTCCCAGATTTTTCTGTTTAAAAAGTTCTCTCCTTGGGGTGCCTGGGAGGCTCAGTTGGTTAACTGACTGCCTTCAGCTCAGGTCATCATCCCAGGGTCCTGAGATTGAGCCCTGTATCAGACTCCCTGCTCAGCAGGGAGCCTGCTTCTCCCTTTCCTTCTGCGCCCTCCCTCCCCACTCATGCTTGCGCGCTCTCTCGCAAATAAAATCTTTTTTAAAAAAAGTTGTCTCCTTCTGAGGATAAACATTGCAGACTGTGAGTGGGCAGAGTGGGGGCAGTTCCTGTAAGGGGAGGTCATTTTTCCATTGAAGGCTGAAGCCACTGAATTAGATGATCCCTGCAGTCAATTTCCAGTTCTAATCGTTTCTAACTCAGATTTTTGCCTGATTACTCGGTTCATTACTCATCTGATGCTAGATAAGGAAGAAACAAATCCAAAATTTACTATCTCCTGACAGTATTTTACTGCCTCAGGCCATTGAACATAGTACTTTTTAGTCATAGCCAGCCCCTGAAAGGATCAGGCGAGGGAGTCTCTGCAGACTCTCCCCCTCCCTAAGTCACCTGGCATTTATTCAAAGTCCAGAATATTCTCATGGGCTGGGGATCCACAAAAAAGAAGGAACCAGGAACCATTAGAGTCCGTGTAGAATTCCACAGGCTTATGCCTCCTGCTTAAATTTAAATCTAGAAAGAAGAGATAAAGGAAAGAAAGAATCTAAAGTTTTATTCATTCATTGGTAATGGTTTGGAGACCCAAGAACTAACTGTTCATGTCACTGCTGCATATTGGATTTTTCCCCCAGAATTAAGTGGAAAACCGTCTGCTTTCAGACCGTTGTCAGTTTGACAAACTAGCACAACACTAGAACGGTGCTATTCTTTTGTTAAGGCCTTGTTGCTTTATTCTTTGTTGGGGAGAAAGGGAAGAATCTTGGGAGTGCTGTTTTTTTTTTTTTTTTTTAATCCTGGCCTTTTCATTTAGATTGCCATCTCAAAAAAAAAAAAAAAATAGATTGCCACCTCAAAGCCTAAACCTAATTTGAAAGCCCTGTGGCAAATTCCTAAATGGCGGGTCATGGTAAAATAACCCTCAGGATGTTTCTACTTCCTTGAACACTGCTTTCACACTTCCAGTTTGGAAATTAACTCCAGGATCGAAGCCCCGGGCACTTCTGGTTTTGGCTGCCTGGTGGTGGAGGGACTTAAACACATGATTTCTCCACAAGTTTGTCCATTCACACCAGAGACGCATCATAATCTCCATATATACATCTGTCTCCCTTCTGTCCCTTGACTACCAACAAGGCGATTTGTTCTTGGACAGGGCCCTCTTACCAACCTCTCAAGTATCCATATCCTTCCATCCTGCTAGATGAATAGGCAGATCCAGGCTTGCCTCATTCGGAGACCTCCATCCTGAGCAGCTGAGTCATCCCTTTTGCAAGATTCTTTGCTTTATTTATTCTCCTGCTCTCAAATGTTTCTCAAGAGTCCTTTCCTTCCTTCCTTCCTTCCTGCCTTCCTTCCGAAGACCCTTCTTTCTGCCTTATTGCTTACTCTTTACCTGTTTTCACGTTTTTAAGGTGTGTCGTGGAAGCTTTAGAAATGCACACACAGGTGAAATACCACCGGTTAAGAAACACCATGATAAAGTGTATGGGAGGGGAACCTTTCCCCTCCACCTCCTTCCAGGCAGCCCACTGAGTGGGCTCTCTAAATCGCTAGGCAGAGGAACAAAATGGTTTGTGTGGATGGTTTAACTAGTCTGAAAACTCCAGTTTCACTGTATGAAGCCCTCATACAGTGAGGGGGAGAGAGTCTGCACACAGAGAAGTGGAGCTTCCACTTTTGTATAAAACATTACTGCAGCTCTTCCCGGTGTAATTTGCAGAATGACTGAGTCCACAGATTGATAAATTCAAGGGAAGCCAAGCAGTTTTCCAGCACCCCTGTCAAAGTCTGATCCCATCTGTCCTTTTCTTTATAGGTACTTGGAAGTTCTGGTAAAACATACACATGTCTCGCTTCTTGTCATTACTGTTCATGTCCTGCCTTTGCTTTCTCAGTGCTGCGGAAGAGTGACAGCCTTCTGGTAAGGATGGGGAAGGTTCTTCCCACTCCAGTGGAATTAGGAGAGAAATTCTTGGCCCTTACCGTGTGGTTTAAAGAGCTCTACAAAATCGAAATTTTTACTGTATGTTGAAACAAATACTATATTGTCCTTGATTTCACTTAGTCACCTCTTTTGAGTTTACCCTCCCAAAATGCAGTATCATCTTTTAGATCTATATCCATTGCCTGATTTTTTATTTAAAAGGTCACAGATGAAGCTTTGGGGAAGGCAACAAGGTAATCTCAGAATTTAGCTCTGGGGAATTAGCCTAATAAAAATAGGAGCTAAACATTGTTGGCAACTTTGCACATCCCCAACTCCAGCTATGAGGTGTTTCTTCCCACTGCCCATAAGACAGCCATGCTGGATTTTCACAGGGGGCAGGAGAGCACATTGATACTTTGCCTGATTTCACAGGCACCCAGAGCATCAAGCAGGAACAAGACATACATACAACTCCTTATTTCAAAAGAGAAAGCACTACCCACCTGAGAGCAGGTAGCTATTTTGTAAGGCTTGCCAAGGAAAATTATAGTACCCACTCCATTCTTCCCCTTTCTCTTATGCTGTTAACTTGGTAAACATCTTGGGAACGGGGTGGTTGGTTGGGTATCTCATTGTTAAAAAAGGCCACATTCACAATTGATGTGTGATAAGTTTGTTTCACCTATAAACAAGATGAAACTTAGGGCCCCTTAAATATCTAAAGCTGTGTGTATTCTGTGACAGAAGGTCCAGTACATCCCCAAAGATGTGTACTGGCTGATATTCTGAAGGGTTCTATGACCCCACTAGCACCCTCTCCCTGTAGGACAACATAGTGACCGTAGACTCAGCACATGGGTAAAATGAGGATGAGACCTGTCCTCATGGGGTAGCTGACAGATTTAAATGAGATAATCTGTGAGAAGCACTGAGCAACACAGAAGGTCAAAGAATGTTAGCCATCACTGTGAAGAGCTTTCTGAAGGCTGGAAGCAAGCAGTAGAACTGAAGGCTCAAATGAGGGGCCTGTCTTGGTTCTCACTCTGGGTTACATACCCTGTGCCAGCTGGATCTAAACTGTTTCTCAAAACAATAGGCAAAGTAAAACTTCCTATATCCCCTTTGATTTCTAGAAAGAATACATTGTGTCATCTTTATCTGCAGTTTTGAGGCAGTAAATCCATGACCTATGTCCCCACTCCTTTCCTACTGAATGTAGTGAGAGGTCTTGGTTAGCTTTGGTCCTGCCAATTCCTAATAGGCTTGTATTTTGTGTTCCAGTGCAAGCATCTCCTGGCAGTTTATGTCAGTCAGGTAATGAGGACCTGTCGACAGCTGAAGGTCTCTGACAAGCAACTGACTGACATATTATTCACAAAGAAGAAACAAATGTAGAAGGTATAGACAGCATTGTTATCTTTCAATATAGAAGTCCTACCCAGAAACACCTTTAACACACCAAGGTTCACGTGGAAAAGAGATGAAATAGATCTTCTGGAGACATCTTGTCACTGTTTCTTTGCCCTCCTAGACAAGAGACCATGAGTTTAAAGCCAGGACATGGATATGGTTTGAAGCTCTACCATTCTCCCCCCCAAAAAAAAATATGAGCCCCGTGTGTAAATTCCCTGGATGGAATCAAGCATTTTAGGCTCAATCAAAACCCAATATCATGTCCTGTCTGCAGATGGTCAGATTCTTAAACTACTGAAGTACTAGTAATTTTTAAGAGGTTGGAATGGTAGACAAAACTGGTCAGATGAAGTTTAGATGAGTGTTACTTCCTTTCTTGGGATCCAGGAAGTTACTCTGCAGCAGTAAAAGATCAGAGCAGAGATGCGGCTGACCAGCAAGTATAAAAAGACTGAGGGATTCTGGTTGCAGAGAGCTTTGGCTTATCTGTGGTGTTGGTGCCAGAAAAGCTTACATAGGTTGTATTGTTAAAAAGGTAGTGTCTAAAACAAGGAAAGGGGTGGTTTTGCTCTGCATGCATCATGGAGCTTATAACAAGCCAAATGAAGGAAGCGACTAAGCATCATGCCCTCAAGAAGGCAAAGAAACTACTTTCCAGGGATTTCCAGTCTGAAGAAGAAAAATCCGAAGAGGAATATTTTCAAAGGGAGAGAGATGGGACTCAGTTGGACCCAGGAAGAGTGAAGGAGCCATGACGGTGACAATGAGACCGCATTCAGCCCAGGAGAACTTCTCAGTAAATAAAGTTATTTACAGCTGGAATAGGAGCCAGGAAGTCCAGGAATGCTCTGGGCCCCACGGGGGCTCATAAATCTGCAGCGTCCTTGTCCTTGCAGGGATACTGCAGAAGGAAATGCAGCAGCAAACAGACAAGACAGACTTTACAGCCCAGGAAACCTCCATCCTTGTGCCCCCAGAAACCTAGGGTTGCTGGTACATGAACACCATATGGAAAGGGCACAGGTGAGGCAGTGTTCCCTGGTGGGCCAAGCCTTGTGCAGCAGCCATAATATCAAGACTTGACTTCTTGGGGAAACTTGAGCTGCGTATAAACTTCTCTTTTGAAGTGGCATTCAGAATAAAGAAGAGAAGGTAGATTCAGCATCCTAAGCTGGTTGGTTTTCAAGTTTTACTTTATTTCACCTAATAGATATACACAGTTATATGATTTTGACTTATTAAAATTTTCACACTTGAGCTCCAGCAACTTGGCCAAACTTGAGCTTCGTAGAGAAATGAACTTCACTACCTAACTGTAGATGGGGCTGTGCAGTCTGGTAGAAACATTTCCCCAGTTTCTTCCTCTGGAGTAGTTTGCAGTACATGGAAAAGAACGTTACCAAAACGGTTACCTGATTATATTCTACTTAAGAACTTACAAGAGTACCATTTCCCCAAATAAATATAGCAGTTTCTTGACTGAAGAATTACACTTTTAATTTTCCTGGTCACCTTCCTAGGAACAAGTATACATTTTTAGTATGTTCAACTTTTATTCTTTCACTGCCTCTAAGTTAAAAAAAAAAAAAACATTTGTATTATAATAGTTTACAGTGTTTCACAGTAAAATATTTCATTTTCTACCATGAAAGAGGCAGACTCTTAAAAAAGCAAAACAGTCTTTTACAATCCACTCAGGCCATCAGCATCATCCACACAGAGCAGCCAGAAAAAAAACATAAATATATTTGTGAGCCTTTGGAGCCGACTAATAACATGTACTTATTAGCTAGGTATGTGGTAACTCCAGGGGAAGTACTCAGAAGCAGCAGCCCATATGCTTACAAGGTGTAGCTGTCTTTTAACAACGGGAATCAGCCAGTCATGTCCCATCCCTTTGTTTATTATGAATGTGTGCCTTCTTGAAGAGGCCAGGACCTAGGTCATAGGCCCACATCAAGGGCAGACTGTGTCCCTGCCTGCCCATTCCCACTCTTGAGGACATCTGTCTGGCAGAGAACATACCTGGAGATGATTTTGTGAAAAGTATAGCGGAAGTCTCGGTTCCGATAGGCATAGACAATGGGATTGACAACTGAGTTGGCATGTGACAGGAGAATGGCCATGTTCATTGCCCACTTGGGTTTGTCCTTAGCCCGAGCTGGCTGAAAAAGGGTGACACAGTTGATGGCATGTACTGGCAGCCAGCACAGAGCAAAAATCCCAACAATCATGGCCAGGGACTTGGCTGCGTGGATCTCCCGCTGGATGACGGTCCTGGAGTGGTCCACCAGCTCAGTGCGCTGAAGCTGCTTGCAGGCCACCATGAAGATCTTGATGTAGATCACCAGCATTATGAGCAGTGGGGGCAGGACGCACCCAAAGAAGTTGAAATATACCATGTAGCTCATGGGGACCACATTCTCAAACAGACACTTCACAAGGCAACAGCTTTCATTCGTGGTTCCATCCCAGGGCTCCGTGCAGTTGGTGGCACTGTCCTTACTGTTCCACCCCAGGAATGGAGTCAGTCCAATGCCAAAGGCAAGGACCCAGAGGACAGCAATGACTCCTCTCGCTCGAGTCCCAGTGACCAAACTCTTATACCTGTTCAAAAGAACATCATCTGTTATCATCCATGTACATTACTCTGTAACCAGAGTCCAAGACCCCACCTCTGCTTTGGTTCTATGGCCTTTACCCTTAACAACCGTTCAGGTTCACACTCAACATAAAGACCTGCAAACACGTATGAGCAACTTTGCGCTAACAAGCTCAACAAGATTTTCATTCTTGACTTACTAGCTCATCTCTGTTGAGTGACAAATCATGCTCATAAAAACAAGTGAAGTCTTAAGAGGGTGCCTTCTAATTACCCACATCCCAACCTAAGAGTCTAGGTCTTCTATAAGGCACTGTTCTAGGTGGTGAGTTCCACCAGTGAACACAATACACAAGATCCCTGCTTTTAAGGACTTACATTCTAGTAAGGAAGACACTGATGATCATCAACAACAACCATGTTAGTAAATTCTACGGTGTGTTAGGAGGAGAGGTGTAGTATGAAAAAAGAAACACTCCAGGACCGTCATCCAGTGGGAGATCCACAGAGCCCAGTCCCTGGTGACACTTGAACCAAAGTGACACTTGAACCAAAACCTGAGGAAGTAAGAATTGGAGCCCCCAAGAGTCCAGTAGCACTACCTGGTGGCTCCCCGCAGCATCTCCGACCACCTCCCCCAGCGCCGGGCGCCGACCCCGTGGACACCGCTGTGCCCTTACGGGGCTGGGGCCCAGGCTTCTCTTGTGGCCCCAGCTATTCCTCCAGCAGGAGAAAGGAAGTCTCTGTGCCACCTCTCAAGGACTGCTGAGCAGGAATGTGGCGGGGCCTCTTCAAGGCTTCTGTTCCCACGTGGCCACCCCGGGCAGGGAAGGCTATTTCCCTAGGCACCCCCCTCCCCCAGCAGCTCTGGCCTAGGGCCGGCATGTCCACGTGGACAGCCAGGCGGCCAAAGCAGCGGCACAGGCAGGAGCTGCCCTCTCAGATGGGAGCCTTGGGGTCCCGGGGGAAGAAGCCTACTTGTGGCAAAATGGGAGTCAGAGTAGAAGTTTGTGTCCTGACTGCAGGTCGGGGCATCAGGCCCACAGCATAGCACCTCTGTGCCTCGGTTTCCATGTCTCTAAATCTAGAGAGAGCAGCAGGGACCGAGTGGCATGGTTCTTAGTTATACGGCCATTATGAATGCATTCCTTATTTGTTATCTGATTGGCTAACAAACAACTTTAAAAGAAGATTCTACTTGGAATACATAGTGGCCTCGATAGGCAGGCAGGAGAAAGGAGAACTCTTAGAGTTTGCTGATGAAGTGAACAGAGAACTTGCCTCATAAGTGACAGTGATCCCTAATCTTTCCTCCTCCCTATGAGGGCAGCTCTCAGCAATGAGCAGCACAACTATGGCCTTTCCTACATACACCTGCTGGGCTCAGTTGCTCATTGAATTTTCCTTGGCCAATAAATCCCTCTATTTCTAAATCCCTTCTGCTTCCCTCCTCTTTCAGGAATGTACAGCCATTCCTTTAAAAAAAAAAAAGTTATTCCTGTCCATTACCCCACCAGAGAATGCAGTCAGTCCCTGAAAGATAACAGAGCAGCCTCCCTAAAAGCCAAGCACTTAGAATCACAAGAATTTAGATCTATGAGGCCACTTACTCAACAGCTCTGCCCTCTCTCTTTTGTTGTGGACAGGATTCAACTGCAACTTAATTGAGTACAGTTGAATATAGGCCAGTCCGGGGCCGAGATGAACTGTATTTGGAGTAGGCAAATTCTCTTGTACATAATGGTCTGGGGTGGATACATGAAATAGTTCTGGCCAATGAGACAAAAAGGAAGTCTGCTGGGGCACTTGATTTTACTTCTTGATATAAGGAAAGACCCATGAGGAGGGCTCTTCCCCAGGCCCATCCCTTTCTGCTTTTGATGCTCTTATGGGAGGCTGTGCTGCCTAGAGCTGTAGCAACCATCTTGTGACCATGAGGGCTAGCTAGCTAGCCTGGGGACAGCAATGGCAAAGTGGGAGGGAGGGAGGGAGGGAGGGGCCCACCCAGGTTCTTGATGAGCTCTCTGAACCACTGCACCAACCCTAGAACCATCACAGCTCCACATTCAAGTTCAAGACATCATTAAATGTCTTGACTGTTACTGTTACTTGCAGTCACTGTAACCAGGCCAAAGCATAAACACTGGAAGGGACTTTTCTAATCAAAACTCTCTTATTTCACAAATGAGGAAACAAAGTCTTTGAGTAACAGAAGCAATATAAGAACCAAAGACCAAAGCTAGATCAGGACTCTATCCTGTGTTCCTTGTGCCAGATTATGCTGCTTATTTTACTTGACTTTTTTTTTTTGTACTATTTTTTTTAAAAGCAACATTAGTCACTGTACATGGAGGGGGGATCACAGGGAATTTCCTATCAGAGTTCAGAACAACTGGAATCCACCTACATCTTAAAACTGCTGGATTCTGCATGTGCAGAAAAACTATTCTTAGACTAAATCGACTTAGATAAAGCCGATGGTTCCATCAGGGGAGCAGCTGGTCACCACTTTGTGAACGCCCCCAAACACAGCTTTTCTTCCCTGTTGGTTCATTATTTCATTCAGCTCTTCCTTTGTACCAGGCACTCTGTTAGTCACTGGAAACATAATCACAGCTCTCCTGGGTTGTAAAGCTGATGAAAGAGAAAGTAAAGAAGTAAACACACAAACGTGTAATTACAAATCAGAATGAGTTTGGCCAAACCAAAATGAATAGGATGCAGAGAAGAGAAAAACAGGAAGACTTTGGACATAGAATGCTACAGGTTCAGAAGGAATAAAATCTTTGAAGAGTGGAGGGGAGAGCATTCTAGTCAGAACAAAGTGGTAAGGCTTTCAGACAGGAAAGGATTTTACTTTCCTAAAGAAGCAAAAGGAACTGTGAGTGACCTAAGCTGAGGGAGGGGCCAGCTCATAGGCCATGGGAAGGAATCTGGATTTTGATATCCAAGTGCAGTGGGAAAGTGTGGAAGGCTTATTTTAAGCCAGGGAATGGTGCTGATTCCTGTTTTGTAAAGGTCATGGTGTGGAGATTGAATCTGGGGGAAGCAAGAAAAGCAGATCAATGAGGAAAACCATTTTGGTGGTTCACTCAAGAGAAAATCAAAGATGGTGCCACCAGATACACACTTTGGAGGGAGAACCAACAGAAATGAACTGGATGTAGGAAGATGAGCTGAGGATGAATTCCTAGGCTTTTTCCCTCCTGTGTACTAAGAACTAGTTAGTTATACCGAAATGGTATTAAGGGGACAAAGCAACAGAATGGTGGAGGCTAGTATCCAGATGAACCCAATCCGTAGAGAGAGAAGATGCAGAAAAAAAGGCAAGATGATTATTAAAGTGACTGAGAATCTAAGGGGGCTGGAGGATGTGGGCCCAGGACCCATGTGGAGGGACCCACCACCGAGGCAGAAGGAAGGAGAAAAGGGCCAGGATGGGAGGGGAGGTTCAGTGGCTAGAAGATCTGTGAGCGCTGCAGTCACCTCAGAGGTCACCTCAGACTCGGAAGAGCCACCTCCTGAGGGAGAGGGGCAGGCTGGGGCACTGGAGCTGTGTCAGCCAGTGGAAGAGGGAGCTTGCTAGAAGAACGTGGCAGGATGACGGCCTCTGTGGTTTCAACAGGGGTGCAGCCTCTGTGGATGAGGTTCAGGCTGACCCCGGGAAGTGAGAGGCCAAGGAAGAGCAAGAGGGATTGAACCCAGAGCTGGTGCAAACGCTGGAGCTAGAACGCTGGAGCTGGGGGTGCAGGGCCAGCATGTGGGGATGACCAGAACATCAAAGGTTTGCATCTTTCGCAGGAGGGGCCATCAGGATCCCACTGTGGAAGGGAGAATGGAGAGAACCAAGAGAAAGAGCTGGCGCCCAAGTCGCCACCTGAGGCCCCGGGGTATAAACAGAAATAAGGGAAACCGTGTCTTTGGGGGGGTTGGGGGAGCCAGGGAGCAGCAGGCACTCTCAGAGCAGAGGTCAGAGCCAGCCCAGGGATCTGGGGGTGGCCGGGAGGGCACAGTGCCCAGGGAGGGGATGTAGGACTCTGGGTCCAATCAGCCCGCAAATGTAGAGAGCACTGTGGGATTGAAATTAATGAATTATTCCGAGGCCCTGAAATACCTGCTAAAGCTGAGACTTAGTCACGTCTCCACTTTCACCTTTAACACACCAACAGCACGTGCAGCTTTAAAGGACAAAAACAAAAGCTCCCCATTCCTTTCTTCATCTGAAACAAGTCTTCCTCCCTCATTCCCTCCCAACTGGTCCATATCTGCCCATCCAGGCAGCCTCTGAGCCAGGTGCCGGCAGACGCCCCCTGCCCACCTGGCAACACCAAGCCCGTGCCTGCCCAGCACACGCCGGCTGTGTCCCTCGGCCCGCTGCTCTCTCTCTCCCTTTACAGACGTGGAAACCGGGGCACAGGGGTGCTATGCGGTGGGCCTGCTGCCCGACCCACAGTCGGGACACAAACTTCTACTCTGACTCCCGTTTTGCCACAAGTAGGCTTCTTCCCCCGGGACCCCAAAGGCTCCCATCTGAGAGAGCAGCTCCCGCCTGTGCCGCTGCCTTGGCCGCCTGGCTGTCCACGTGGACATGCCCGCCCTGGGCAAGAGCTGCTGGGGGCCCCCAGGAGGGAGCCTCCCCAACGGGGCAGCCACGTGGGAACAGAAGCCTTGAAGAGGCCCTGCCACAATCCTGCTCAGCAGTCCTTCGGAGGCGGCACAGGCTTCCTTTCTCCTGCTGGGGGAACAGCCGGGCCCACAGGAGAAGCCTGGGCCCCAGCCCCGCAAGGGCACAGCAGTGTCCACGGGGTCGGGGTACACGCGGTCAGCGCCTGGTGCAGGGAGGTGGTCGGGGATGCTGTGGGGAGGAGACAGGTGCCGAGCCGGACGCTGGAATGGGTGGTCCCGGGGGCTCCCTGGCAGCTTCCCAAGAGTGCAGTAACCTCCTGGCCTGTCTTCACACGTCCTACTGGCAGCTGCTGCGCCCCCGTCCCCTTCCTGAATGCCTCCCCCCCACCCCCATGGGTTCCATGCCGTCCTCCCTCTACACCAGAGGCTCCCAGAACATCCTCCTGCGTGTGCGTGTGCACATGCGTGTCCCCAAAACATTCCCAAAAAGCAGGGGCCAAGCTCCCTGCGTCTGCCCCTCAGCAGTCCTGCCCTGCTGTGGGGGCACGGAGTCCAGGGAAGCCCAACATCTGCCCAAACACGGGGGTGTAAACAGATAAAAAGCAACGTAGGGGTGAACAAAGGGAGCGTAGGGGTGAACAAAGGGAGCGTCAGCAGCTTCATCGCTGCTTCATCGTTCCAAACAAGCAGGCCAGAGTCGTGTTGTCCCCCACCCCCACCAAGGGGCGTTCTGGGAAGGTCCACACTCCGGGAAGTGGCTCCGCTGCCCCGCTGGGCCCAAAGCTGTGCTGACACCCACCCGTTCCCCATACAGAAGGGGCTGGTTGGCTAAGGAGCTTGCCAGAAAAACAGTCACACGGAGGGAGTCAACAAAGGGAACAGTGTGGACGCTGAGGTTACATAACACAAAGCGGAATCGCCCAGTGCCGCATAACAAGTGCTGGCCTATTTCTGGGGCAGGGTCTCCTCCCTCCTGGCTCTGCCCTTGTGCCTTCGGCTGGGACCAGTCCTGCTCCAGGAGCTCAGCATGTGCCCTGGGGCGGCGTGCTCTGGGTGGTGGCCGGGGCTGTACCAGCCCTGCCTCTGCACTCTGGCATCTGGGAAACGGTGACAGAAGTGCTGCTGCTGGAGCCTCTGACACAGAGACGATGTGATCAAAGCACTTGAGAGAAACACACCTCTAGGTAAATGGCATGGAGCTCTGTCGCCATTTCTTAAATTGCCTATTGTTTCTTTGAGGACTTTTTTCTTTACCTTCTGTCTAGCTCAAGTTTCAGTCCTCTGTAATACAAACATTTCTGCTTTAAGGCACGTGTATATACATTTTCAGAAGAACTATATACTCTCTAAAAGTGCACACGAATAATAACAGGACTTAGGTAAAAATCGAGTTAGGACAGACCCTTCAAAGCCTACAAGATGTAGGAACTAGAGCACTGGCGACTTGGCTCCCGAGGCAGGCGGTCCAGCTCGGCTGGAGGTGCCACAATGAATATTAAAAATGCACCCTTAGAAAATCTCATGGAAATTCTGGCAAAAGGGTTAAGTAGAGCAAGGCTGATGAGTGCCAGGATGACGCAGATGAAAGAACTGCTCTAAGCCAGGGGACTGTTGCTAAGTAGGGCACGGTGGGCAGTGTGGCCTGCCACAGCCAGGACCCACAGGCTAGGATGCGGCTTTTTCAGGAAGCAGGCCCAGATACAGGCCCTGCTGTGTCCTTGTGCCTCCTCGTTCCCCTCTGGGCTCCTGCCACAGGGAGGTTACAGGGAGGGCTTTTTCCTTCCCTGCTGAAAACTAGAAGGCTCCTCCCACTATCCCATCCCCTTTTAGCCTAGGCCAAACCACAGCTGAACGAAAGCAAGGTGCACCAGACCCACACTGTCCCACTGCCATGTGCCTGAGCTCACATTACAGAAGTTTACACAGAAGCAGAGCAGTTGTACCCCACAATTCCCACGGTGCCCCTCCCCAAAGCCCCCCACAGAACCATATTTTATGTCTCCTTCCACTGGAGCACGCACTCCTTCATGGCAAGACTATCTCGTTCCCTGTTGAATCCGAAACACCAACGATGGGCCTGGCCCACAGTGCTGAATAGAAGCCTGAATTTACAAGGAGAGAACAGAACTCTGGTCTTAATCACATAGACACGTTTAACACCCACTTGGTAGCTCTAAACAAAAAAGGCCTGGGGCAGGTGAAAGTGTCTTGAGCTTCAGCTTATATAGTTTACAAGAGGCTATCTGTGGAAGAGCAAAATCTTTATGCTGAGTAGCTGCTTCAGATTTCTCATGGAACCAAATGGAAAAGGTTTTTGGAAAGTTGTCATGGACAGGGACGCCTGGGTAGCTCAGCAGTTGAGCATCTGCCTGCAGCTCAGGGTGTGATCCCGGGATCCTGGGATACAGTCCCACATCGGGCTCCCCTTAGGGAGCCTGCTTCTCCCTGTGCCTGCGTCTCTGCCTCTCTCTGTGTGTCTCTCATGATTAATAAATAAAATGTTTAAAAAGTTGTCATGGACAGAAAAATAGAATTTGAATAGCACTGTGTCTATTACAGGCATAGAATACATAGCCAAAGAGCTTCCCACGAAGAAAATTTAAGACCTGGATGACTTCACTAATGAATTCCTCCAACACTTGAGAAACAAAACCATTCTTAAACAAAACGAGTGGACACTCTTTGGTTCTATTTATATGAACTTCAGGTCTGGGAATAGGAAACGTATTGAGGGCAATCTGTCCTGTTCCTACAGTCAGTGATTGTCCTAGCTCTAGTGTGGAGGGCCGCATGATACAAGAACAGCGCCTGCAGGCAGCCCGGGTGGCTCAATGGTTTAGCGCCACCTTCAGCCCAGGGTGTGATCCTGGAGACCCGGGATCGAGTCGAGTCCCACATCAGGCTCCCTGCTCCCACATCAGGCTCCCTGCATGAGGGCTGCTTCTCCCTCTGCCTCTGAGGAGCCTGACGTGGGACTCGATCCCGGGACCTCAAGATCATGCCCTAGGCTGAAGGCAGGCACTAAACCAGTGAGCCACCCAGGGATCCCCTAAATAAAATCTTTAAAAAGAACAGCGCCCACCAGATGGCAAGCTGTGGTCACCAGAACCTACTTTCAGGCTAAGTGCTTCTGAGGCCATACCCTCAGCTACTCTGGTTCTTGGGGGCAGTTCTCACCTATGCTCACAAGTTCAGACATGTCTGAATCCCAGTGGTGGACCTGGTAGGGTACTGAGCTGAGCCCACTGCCACGTGTAAAGGTGGTCAGAAAGGATGCCAGTTGTCCTTCACAGTCACCCAAGAACAGTGGGCAAAGAATGCAGGTGGCAGAAAGGAAAGGTGTCAGCACTCCTCACTTGCTTACTATGGCAAGAAAACAGTCCACAATGGTCTCATAATGATTCAACCCACTGACAATGAAGATGGGGACCAGGACCAGGTATCCCACAGTTCACCTATGAGGCTGTTTTTTGGTGAGCCTCACATTTTGGTTCATGTTTTGGGGGGAGAAGGGGACTCAGAGACAGCCTGCAGTTGCTGGGCTCCAGACTCTGATTTTCAAATGAAATTAAGAGTCCCTAAGAGAAAGGACCCCTGCCTGAAAACCAAACCAGAGAATAAAATGATACCTTGTCTTCTCCCCCATAAAGTACCCTCCCATGGCTAAGGTTAAAATATACTGCGCTTCAGATATAACATTAATTGCCAAAAGTTATTGCCCTCTTTATATGTAAGCCATCAGTTTAGAAGACATCACGAGGTACGTAATATCGATACATGCCCTTACTGGTGATAATTCATTTGGATCACCTGGTTACTGTAGCATCTACCAGATTTCTCCACTGTAACTATTTTCTGTTTTGTAATTAGTAGATCTCTTATAATAGATACTTGTATTAAATATCTTGCTCCTCATCAGACTTTCACCAATGAGTTTGATGATTCTTGCCTGCACTAGATTACTATGATAATTGCCAAATGTTGATTTCCTTAACTCAGGCATTCATACTCATTAATTAGATGGCATTCTACTGTAAGCAAGAATTCTTCCAACTCATTATTAAAAAAAGAAACAAAGAAAGAAAATCGCCCAGTTCTGTTCACTGTGAGGGCCTAGGAGAAATGACACTCCAGAAGCAATGAACACACTGACCCAAATCTTGGTGTCTAAGTACCATTATCTACTGAAAGGAAACAGGGCTCCTTGGAGAAATGGCTGTTCCCAAAGCCAGAAAATACAACGTGAGCTCGAAAAACCTTTCTTTGATAAGGAAGAGCAGGGAAAAGGTAAAATTCCTTTTTTATGAAGAATGACAACTGATAAAGGTAGAAGGAATGAAAAGAAAGAAAACTGCCATTTTACGTGGTAATAACTGGCTCAGGCAAGAATCATCAATGAGGAAACATACCTTTATGGTGACAAGTGCTGGCAGACATAGCTGTAACTAAGTGATCAGAGTTAACATAACATTGTGCAGCCAGTACTCGCACGGTGAGAGAGCTGGGACCTTATCCTAAGGCACGGGAAATATTAGGTAAAGAAGGAGGAGCGATCAGGTCTTCATTTTAAAAGACTGCTGCCATGTGATGCATGCGCTGGGAGGGCAAACTCGGATGCAGAGAGATCAAATAGGAGACTAGATGGGACCAAAATGACTAGGGAAGGAATTTAAGAAATCCAACTGAAAAAAAAGGCGGGGGGAATGCAACTGACAGGACCTATTCTAAAATGTCTTTCAATAAAGCTTTATAGTTCTCTGCATTACATATATAAATCAAGCAAGCAAGCAAGCAAGCAGCTGAGGTCCATCCCAATGGGGCTTCTGTGGACCTACATTGTTGGGAATGCTTCATACAGAATACATGTGGTCTCCTTTATTCCCAGAACTATGTGTTGGATCTGTGGGAAAGAACTACAGGACATGGATCATCTAAAATCTAAAAACTATGAAAGACCTAATAGTCACATTTTTTTTACACCTCAGGCATTGGTGTATCCCAACAATCAGTACAATTCCAGGAGGTGACAGTTCAGGGATGGGCATGATTTGAACTTATTCATATGTTTAGGGGGTGTCTGAAGTTGAGAACCAGGCAGATCCATCCATTTTCCTAAAGAAAGCAGATCCCAAAGTTTACAGGTAGAGATCTTCAAAATACATCTGTATTCAAGTGGAGATCAAAGAAGTCCAACTGAAAGAATTGTGGAGTGACAGTGACAACTGTGGATTGAACAAAATTTTTTTATTTAAATAGCGAGCATGTACACATGTGAGCAGGAGGGGAGGAGCAGAGGGAGAGAGAGAATGTCAAGAAAGCGCCATACTCAGCGCAGAGCCAGATGCAGGGCTCAGTCCCATGACCCTGAGATCATGACCTGAGCCGAAATCAAGAGTCAGATGCCTAACCGACTGAGCCACCCAGTGCCCCCAAAAGTTATTTTTAAAAGGGCTATTTTGAAGATTATGATTCTGACTTTCAAAGAACTTAGGTGATAGGTGGTAGAAGGAATCACATATAAAATTCCTTAAATAAAAATTTATTGACTTAAAAAGATTTTTAAGATTTTATCTATTTATTCATGAAAGACACAGAGAAAGAGGCAGAGTCACAGGCAGAGGGAGAAGCAGGCTCCATGCAGGGAGCCTGACGTGGGACTCAATCCCGGGACTCCAGGATCATGCCCCGGGCCGAAGGCAGGTGCCAAACCGCTGAGCCACCCAGGGATTCCCTAAAAAAAATTTTTTAATTAAAAAAAAAGCAGACAAAATGTTGGAGAGGATGTGGAGAAAAGGGAACCCTCTTACATTGTTGGTGGGAATGTGAAATGGTGCAGCCACTCTGGAAAACTGTGTGGAGGTTCCTCAAAGAGTTAAAAATAGACCTGCCCTACGACCCAGCAATTGCACTTTTGGGGATTTACCCCAAAGATACAGATGCAATGAAACGCCGGGACACCTGCACCCCGATGTTTATAGCAGCAATGTCCACAATAGCCAAACTATGGAAGGAGCCTCGGTGTCCATCGAAAGATGAATGGATAAAGAAGATGTGGTCTATGTGAACAATGGAATATTACTCAGCTATTAGAAATGACAAATACCCACCATTTGCTTCAACGTGGATGGAACTGGAGGGTATTATGCTGAGTGAAGTAAGTCAATCAGAGAAGGACAAACATTATATGTTCTCATTCATTTGGGGAATGTGAATAATAGGGGGAATATAAGGGAAGGGAGAAGAAATGTGTGGGAAATGTCAGAAAGGGAGACAGAACATGAAGACTCCTAACTCTGGGAAATGAACTAGGGGGAGTGGAAGGGGAGGAGGGTGGAGGGTGGGGGTGAATGGGTGACGGGCACTGAGGGGGGCACTTAACGGGATGAGCACTGGGTGTTATTCTGTATGTTGGCAAATTGAACACCAATAAAAAATAAATTATAAAAAAAAAAAAAGCAGACATGGCCATGGTCTTGAAATCAACATTGGAAATCGAGATGTCATCTTCAGAAAGCCACTCGGGGAAGTTTGCGGGTAGTAGGACTGGAGCCAAACAGGCAGTAAACCAAAGAAGGTGAGGCTCAGATTGGGGAGAGGAGCCTGAATACATTTAGTGAAGAGGAAGAGGCTGCCACACAGGAGTCTGGGGGTGAGGAACAATGCTGGACTCCCACAAAGCCAGGGGAAGGGCCGCCCAGCCCAAACTCCCCAAGCTCCCAACTCAGTCACCTACTGTGGCACTCAACCTGCAGACACCACAAATATAACCTGTGCACTTTCCCAAAGCCCCCATGTGTGGCAAGCCTTGGAGTCACCCTGGACTCCAACCTTCTCCTCATGCCCAACCTCCAACCAAGTCAGCAAGTCCTCTGGAACCCGTCCCTGACGATCCTATCTTCTAGCTACAAGCTTCTAGCTTCTCGCTCGCTCGGTGTGTGGTGTCAATACAGACCCACCTGGAAATCACACAGGCCGGCTGCGGCTTTTCATACCCTGGGTCCCACCCGGCCGGGCGCCGACCCACCACACCTCTGGTCCTTGTTCCCTGACTGTGGTCCCAGAACCACAGTATTTGGTTTCTTAGGATTCTTTCCTGTCCTGGTGTCTTGGCTCTGTGGCTTCACCTATGACCCCTCTGCCTCAAAGTCTGACAGACTTCTTGGCTGGCTTCAGACAGCAACCATCCCCCTGTAGAAGTTCAGAGTTCACAGGGCTCAAGTAGCTCTAGACCTCACCTCCATCTCGAGGCGTCTGTCCTGGTCATGCTTCCTTCGCTCCTAGAGGACATCTGGTGACCCTAATAATGTCGGCCCCTCCTGTCCATCCCCCCTGCCAGACTGCCTGTTTTATAATGCAAACCTGACCACACCAAGCTCCCGATTAAAACCCTGCATTGGCCTTCCAGGTCCCACTTAATTATCACTGCTCTGAAAATCCCATTTAAATGACAGTAGAGAGGAGGCTCCTGGGGAGGCTCAGTTGATCAAATGTCAGACTCTTGATTTCTGCTCAGGTCATAATCTCAGGGTCCTGAGATGGAGCCCTGCGTGGGGCTCTGCGCTCAGTGGGGAGTCCGCTTCTCTCCCTCTGTCCCTTCCCCCAGTATGTGCACATGTGCTCTCTCAAATAAATAAACAAATCTTAAAAAAAAAAAAAAAATAGGGCAGCCCAGGTGGCTCAGGGGTTTAGCGATACCTTCAGCCCAGAGCATGATCCTGGAGACCCAGTATCTCTGCATAACCTGCTTCTCCAGGGATCCCTGGGTGGCGCAGCGGTTTAGCGCCTGCTTTTGGCCCAGGGCGCAATCCTGGAGACCGGGGATCGAGTCCCACATCGAGCTCCCAGTGCATGGAGCCTGCTTCTCCCTCTGCCTCTCTCTCTGTGTGTGTGTGTGTGTGACTATCGTAAATAAATAAAAATTAAAAAAATTAAAAATTAAAAAAATTAAATTAAATTAAAAAAATAGCCTGCTTCTCCTTCTGCCTGTGTCTCTGCCTCTCTGTCTCTCATGAATAAATAAATAAAATCTTAAAAATAAATAAATAAAAAATAAATGACAGTAGAGAAAACAGAAGGAAATAAATTTATAACCTAAAATTACTAAAACTGGAAGTGGAGGGTGACATCAGCAAACCAGAGATTTTAAGGAGTTTCTAGAGACCAGAAGGCAGATAGGGTCATCAGGATGGGGCAGGGCCCTGTGTCAGAAACAGAGATGGCCAGGAAGAGAGGCTCCAGTCTTGCAGCAGCAGATACCAGAATGAGGTTTGGAAAAGGAACAGAAACCAGGGGAGAGACTGCCTGTGGACCACCTTTGTGGGCTGCTTCAGTCACCCTATATTGTCCCCTCATCTCCCATGGATGGACCCCTCCACTCTCCACCCTCTCACCAAGCTGCAGGGTGAGACTAGTGATGGCAGGAAATTTGTGACACATGAAGGAGTCTGAACCATGTGAATCCAGAAAAGGGTTTTCAAAACTTATTCAAAAATTGTTAACCTCAAAAAAAAAAAAATTGTTAACCTCAAATCAAAAGTAACAATATGAGTGCTAAAATTTATTAAAAAGGGGGTGGGGAAATTAGGGAGAAAAAGTCAAGGAATTCTTCCACAGGAGAATAAAAAGTTAAAGTATTGAACACATATACAAGAAAACGTTTAAAAGACAAAGATCAGGGATGCCTGGGTGGCTCAGTAGTTGAGCGTCTGCCTTTGGTTCAGGGCGTGATCCCAGGATTCTGGGATCGAGTCCCGCATCGGGCTCCCTGCACGGAGCCTGCTTCTCCCTCTCCCTGTGTCTCTGCCTCTCTCTCTCTCTGTGTCTCTCATGAATAAATAAATAAAACCTTAAAAAAAAAAAAAAAGATTTTCAGAGCTAAAGACAGACCTAAATCTTCAGATTAGAAAATTTGGCCAAGGGAATCCCTGGGTGGCTCAATGGTTTGGCGCCTGCTTTCAGTCCAGGGTGTGATCCTGGAGTCCCCGGGATCGAGTCCGGCATCGGGCTTCCTGCAGGGAGCCTGCTTCTCCCTCTGCCTGTGTCTCTGCCTCACTCTCTGTGTGTCTCTCATGAATAAATAAATAAAATCTTTAAAAAAAAAAAAAAAAGAAAGAAAGAAAATTTCGCCAATAAGTGTTATCCCCAATGAAGGAGCAAAACAAAAAGCCAATATTTATTTTTTTTTATGATTTTATTTATTTATTTATTTATGAGAGACACAGAGAGAGAGGCAGAGACACAGGCAGAGGGAGAAGCAGGCTCCATGGAGGGAGCCCGACATGGGACTCGATCCTAGGTCTCCAGGATCACATCCTGGGCTGAAGGCGGCGCTAAACTGCTGAGCCACCCGGGCACCCAAAAGTCAATATTTAGACCCAGTCTTGTGAATTTCAGAAAGCTAAGCAAAGGCAAATGATCCCAACAGCTTCCACAGAGGAAAACCAAGTCCCAAATAAGAATGGAGCACACCCCAAACTTCTCAGACATCGTTGGCTGCGAGAGCAATGACCCTGTATCCAGTCAAACTACCAATGACATGTGAGAAATAAGAACATTTCTGGCATGGAAGATCCCCGAACGTTTATCCCCATGTCCTGAATGAGTTACCTACGGGTGTGTATACCGACAAACAAATATGGAATCCCAAAGGAGAAGGAAAACATGCAGGGCCAGGAATAGTAGAACAAGTCCAAGAGTCCAGAGAAGCAAGGCACAACAGGCCAGTGAGGACAGCCAGCAGTGGGGACAGAGAAGGAGCCTGAGGGACCCGGGAGGCCACATACTTCTTCCTTTTAAATTTCCAGATGGAAAACTCACGATGCAAACATGAAGCTGACCACAGCGTGGTGTAATTCTGAGCAGCAGATAGGACCTAAAAAAAAGAATCCATCTGACCTGGTCATCAGGCCGGCCTCCTTGAGACACAT